AGATTCTGAACTGGGTGAGCCTGTTCCCTGCCGAAGATAATGGCCAGACAGACTCTCGGGGTTGATTTGAGGATCGCATGAGATAATCCGAGGAAGGTCTTTATCCAGCAGTGGCTCACAAACACTAGGCATCATAACTGCCGCGAGGAAGGGTTTCTTCATCCTTGCTGTGCTGGATTTGGACTGAGTTTGGCAAGGTGATGTACGGGGGAGGAACACTGTTTTTCTGGGGGGAAAGGACGTACGAGTGTTCACCCCAATCACCCTAGTAAAGGCGGTGCACCTCTGCTGTCTGGGCTCCCTCTCTGTGTCCGCACAGGGGTGGCGGTGGTAGCCAGGGGCGTTAGTGAGCAGGAGCCTGGAGCTGTCTGAAGACCCTCCCTGATGCTCTGCAGTAGAGTCTAAGAGGAAGGCGGAAGGACTGTGTGCACCGACCAGTGTAGACACTGGCATTACTATGTGTCTTGTAAGAGGGGCTCGGGTGGAGGGCTGGCAGCTGGACTCTGGGATGTATGTGGGTAGGACCCTTTCCTTGTGGGAAGGGAACTTCACCGACACGCCCCGTTCCTAGGGAATTCTGGTAAGTTCCCAGGGCCTTTGCGCACTGCGAGATGTATGACATTGCGCTCTGCTGTGGGAGGAGATGGGCCAGCAGTCTGTCCCCCGTCTACTTCCGAGGAGATCGCAGCAGATCCAGGGGACAATGCCGGGATGCCCCTGGACTGGACACGGAGGCCTGAACATCCCCAAACGGACCATCTGTCATAAGGTGGATGAGGCTTGGCTGAATGGGTCCCTGGGAAGCTGGCCCATGTCCAGCCAGGCCCCCAGGCAGGGGTATTTTTATCCCAAAGCAGGGAGATCTGTATGGGGGAAGCTCCCCCTCACTGGTAGCTGCTCGGGTAACATGCTCGCTGCCCATCTGCCTGTGCCGCCGCCCCCACCTCCCTCTCCCTACCACTCCCAAAGGAATGCAAACACTGAACAGACAGACTCCCAGTCCACGCCGGCTGGAAGGGCCCCTGAGGGTGGTCACAGGCAAGGTCAGGGCCCTCCCAAAGATATTCTGGGCTGAGCACCTCACAGCAGCCTCCTGGCCCTGCTAGCTACAGCCCTCTCTCTTCTCCTGCAGCCCAGCACGTGTTGTCTACACTGACGGCCTACTTCCTCGACCCCCGCCCCCACTACTCTCCCGAGAGTTCTGTCACTACAACTACCAATAAACCGTTTGGTCAAACCTAATTGCCTCTCTCCAGGCCTTAAAATACTTGCTGTATCGGCGCCTGGGTGGCTCCGTTGGTTAAGCGACTGCCTTCGGCTCAGGTCATGATCCTGGAGTCCCGGGATCGAGTCCCGCATCGGGCTCCCTGCTCGGCGGGGAGTCTGCTCCTCCCTCTGACCCTCTTCCCTCTCGTGCTCTCTCTCTCTCATTCTCTCTCTCTCTCTCAAATAAATAAATAAATAAATCTTAAAAAAAAAAAAAACCTTTAAAAAAAAAAATACTTGCTGTATCTTCTCCCTTGAACACCGCCCCGCCCCCAATCTCCAGCTTCTGGGAAACTGTCCCGCCTGGTTTGCCCCCCACCGCCCTGACGGTCCCTCCTCCAGCCTTCCTGGGGGACGGCTCCCCTCAGCTTGCCTGGGGCTCTCCCGCTGGGAGCACCGAAAGTCCCACACCTCAGGAGCTGCCTCAGTCGGGGCAAACGGGGGCCACCGTGAAGCCTAGACTCAGCCCTGACCCTCCGCATCTCGTTCTCGCTTCTCCCCTCAGTCTCCACGCTGTCCTTGGGGTTCTTCACCTACCTCTGTGGCTGCAGCCACCATCCGGGTGGGAATGATCCAGGCCCATGAGCCAACTTCCCACAGGGCATCTCTGCTCAGATGTCTCCTGGCAACTCAAACCCACCCTGCCTCCCTCTGACCTGGCCATCTGAGGCCAAACTGCTTGTCCTTCTGGTCTACCACTGCAGTGAGGGGCTTCACCGTCCGCCCAAAGTTACATGTTTCCTTTCTTCTTAACCAGTTTGTGACCCAATTTTACCTCCCAAATCCCTTGACTCTCTCCAAATATTTTGATTCCTGCCGTCACTCCCATGGTGCAGGTCACCACCGTCTCCTGTCCTGATCAGGGCCTCGTCTGGAGGGAATGTCAACTGGGGTCATCCCTGGATGGTGAATATTACGGGTTGAATTGTGTCCCCAAAAAGGTTTGCTGAAGTCCTAACTCTGGTACCTGTGAACGGGACCTTATTTGGAAATAGGATCTTTGCAGATGTAATCAAGTTGCGACGAGGTCATCAGGGTGGGCCCTTATCAGATACAAGTGGGGTCCTTCTAAGGAGAAGACAATGCCACGTAAAGACAGAGAACACACAGGAAGAACAGAACCGGATGGCAGAGGCCAAGATCGGAGTCATGCAGCGGAAGCCCAAGATGGCCAAGAATTGCCGGCCACCCCCAGAATTTAGGAAGAGTCAAGGAAAGAGTCTACCCGGAGTCTCAGAGGGAGCATGGCCTTGATGACACCTTGAGTTTGGACTGCCAGCCTCCAGAGGTATGAGAGGATAAATTTCTGTTGTTTGAAAACCACCCAGTTCATGGGGCGCCTGGCTGGCTCAGTTAAGTGTCTGCCCTTGGCTCAGGTCATGATCCCAGGGTCCTGAGATTGAGCCCCAAGTCAGGCTCCCTGCTCAGCGGGGAGTCTGCTTCTCCCTCTGCCTCTGGCCTGCTCATGCTCTCTGTCATTCTCTCTAAAATAAATAAAATGTTTAAAAAACAAAACACAACAAAGCAAAACAAGACCACCCAGTTTATATACTCTGTTATGGCAGCCCTAGGAACCTAATATACTGAGATGTGAGCAATTTTTATTTCCTTATTTATACTTTTCGGTATTTTAGGGATTATCCGTAGTGGAGACACAGACTTTTGTGACTGGGGAAAAACATACTTATTCTTAAAAAAAAAAAAGAAATCCTCACTCAACGAGAATCCTAAGCACTCTATTGGATTATTGGATTTATCTCTGAGAATCAAAACTATCTGCGCTCACACAGCTTACTGATCACATCACCGTGACTTTATTAGTCCATTGGCTTCATCAAGCCAGCTTTACTATTCCAGGAAACTCTTGCACAGGAACATAAAAGTTGCAAATCAAATAAGTTTATGGTTCGTTTCAGGGATTTGCAAAAGACATTTAAACAAACATCAAATGATTCGACTTTTTAACAGATAGCATCAAATGAGTGTCTACTCTCCAAGGCTCTCCCAAACCCTGGCCTTGCCATGCCCACTAATCCCTAACTCCTGTAACATGATTCTTCAGGGTCTCAACACATTTCCCCATCTCAAGCAGTTTAATTAGTCTTAATGAAAGACCCTGAACATGTAGATATAACCTATCTTTGCCTTTGCCTTTCTGAGATGTTTCTAAGACTCTGCCAAGGGAGGGAATTCTTCCCAAGGGAAGCAGGGACCTCAGCTCTGCTCTACCAGTAGGCTGATTTGGTGGTATTTGTAAGCCTTCTGCAGCTAACATATCTAAAATGTGGCATTTACTGATTGCCTTCTATGTGCAGAGACTGAGCTAAGCACTTACTTACCACGTACCCTTTTAGGGCATCTGCTAATCGAACTGTTAAGAGATAAATTGAGGTATATTAAACATTTTTTTTTATTTATTTGAGAGAGAGAGAGAACGAGAGATAGAGAGCACGAGAGGGAAGAGGGTCAGAGGGAGAAGCAGACTCCCCGCGGAGCAGGGAGCCCGATGCGGGACTCGATCCCGGGACTCCAGGATCATGACCTGAGCCGAAGGCAGTTGCTCAACCAACTGAGGCACCCAGTCGCCCGAGGTATATTAAACATTTTAAGAGTTTCTTTGAGCAGAAATTGATTCCAATCAGGCAGCATCCAATCTAGCAGATAGAAAGGAGCATCGGTGAGTTTGCACCAAAGGAAAGACTTTTATAGCCAGAAAGGAGCAGGAGTAAGGATGTTATGCTAGGCAAAAAAACAGGTTGGTTATTGCAAGGTTACTTTCCTTTAGGGGAAGGCAGGGGTCTAGCAGGTGGATTACCTAACGAGTGCTCATCAGGAGATTCCTGATTGACTGGTTTAAGATGCCATTTCTGGGAGAGCTGAGACTGTAATTAAGTCTCAGTTTGGTGACATGAAGCTTAGCATTAAGTGACTCCGTTTGGGGCCTGTTGTCTCGTTTTTTAACAAATCCCAGGCCGTTAGAAATGATTCCCATTTTGTAGCTGGGGAAAGAGACTCAGCCAATGTTAAGTGGCTTGCCCCAGGCAGCGCCATCAGTAAACAGCAGAGCCTAGCAAAGCCTCCTCTCCCAGCACCCTTTCGCTGCTCCAGATCTAGGGAGATTGGAATACAAAACACACACATTCCAGTGTCTGGTTATTTTGGGGAACCAGTGGTATTCTGCTCCCGATTACCTCGATAACTGCTTTAATTGGACAGACTCCACTCCGCCTGGAAGACCTCACCGGGCAGGCTTCCTGAGGGGAGTCACTATGGAGGCCACTCCCACCGCACCAGCCCCGGCCCCATGACTTCTGTTTCTCTGCCCTGGGGCCTGGAGAATGTTAACCATGAAAGGCAAACGGGCTTCGGGCTTCGGTGAAAAACAGGCAATTATTTCAGGCAGGCACATTTCCCACAAGGCCCTGGTGCAACAAGTTAGCAGGGAAGAAAGAGCCGGACCCTTTGTACAGCCATTGGGACACAAAGCTCATTGTTATGTTTATGCATCCTCTCTTCAAATGCTTTGTGGTCTGGATTCCATGCCAACCTGCAGACCAGATTCTTTTCTTCCCCCTCAGTGGCAAATGTACATATTTGCTTTAGAGTAGGCAGAATTTGCCCATGGGTGGTCTTTGATTTGGAAGAAATCAGCCTGAGTGGTGACTCACAAAGAACAAAGGTGGTTTGACTCACTCTGTGCTGGGCCAGGGGATGCCTGTGCAAGATTCACTTACCCAGAAGAAGAAGTTAAAGACGAAGAGTAAATACTTCAGGTAGACAATCAGCCAGTCGTCCTGCTCGGCCTTGTAATGGGCCATGGTTGCTGGGCCTGCAAAGAAGTAGAAACAGGGGGCTGGCAGGGGGCCCCAGAGCAAACCACCTCGCCCTTCCCAGAGCCAGAGCTCCTTCCTAGCCTGTTTGGCCAGGTGGGTCTGAGGCTGGGGGTATGTTACCTGGAGCAAAGAGCAGGGAAGTGCAAAGGCTATCGGATGCACAATAGAGGTGAACTGCGCAGAATTTTCTAGACCCTTTGGATCTCGGTTTTGCCCTTTCGCCATAACTCCAACCTAAAGTCTTCCTACAGTAAGAAGTGTTCTTATTCCCCTGCCCTGTCTCATCAGGGTTGCAGGGCACAAATTTACCTGGCACTCTGCATCATTTGAATGGGACCTCTGTGTGCACAGGTGAGGCATGAGCCCCAAATCAGGTGGTCCATGCTGGAAAGGATGTCAGCCTCATCCAGTCCGCCCCACTGGTCCCCTGCACCATGACTTTCCAAATGAGGAAGCAAGGCAGCAGGCCCAGTTGTTTGGCAGGAAGAAATACAAGAGCTCTGGAGTCGGACTCCCTGGGTTCAGACCCAGGTCTGCCGCAAGATATGAGAGGCTTTTGGCGAGTCATGCAATCTCCCATTTCTCTGTCCTTGTCTGTAGCAGAGAGAATAATGAAGCCTACATCGCAGGCTTGTTTGGAAGATTAAATGGCATCATCTATGTGAGGTGCTCAGCATAGTCCTGGGCACACAGTAAGCGCTCAGTAGATGTTAGCTATTATTAGTAGTGTGTGTGGCAGGGATTAGGACCCAGGCCTCCAGCCCCAGAATTCCTAGTTTTTGCCCTGGAACCATGCTCCCTTTCCTTGTCCCGCTGCCCCCTGCTGGAGTCTCTGGGAACCGTGTGTGACATCAGTGGGGTGACACAGGCAGGGGAGGCTCACTGTGCCCATAGTCCTGTGTGCTTCTCGGTGAGTCTGAACAACAGGCCCTGTACTTTCTGCTTCTCCTGGGCTCCATTTCCCCCAGGCACCCAGCCATGGCCTAACACTCACAGAGTAGCTGCTCCTTGAGGAACTCGCTCTCTCGAGGGGACCTCTTACTCCAGAACCACAAGCAACGGGGCACTGGTTTTGCTCACTTCCATTTCTTTCTCCCTCATTCCCCACCTCTGGTCGGGCCCTCCTTGCCACTGCCCCGCTCCTTTTCCTTGGCCGGTGCTGGGTCAAGCCCAGATCATTCCTCCTAAGCCACCATCCTGCCTTTTATTTCAAGCTCCTGGGCTCCTAAGACAGGGAGAGGAAGAGAGAGAGAGAGAGAGAGAGAGAGAGAGAGAGAGAGAGAGAGAGAGAGAGAGAGGAAAAGGTGGCTGTCTTATTTGGGATTTCTATTTGCAGAACTTGAAGAAGGTAATTTAAGAGTTTTAGTCTTCTGGTTAAAAAAGGACAAAACCCATTTTTCTCCAATTTCGTCTGAGACGCAGTGTGGTGGGAAAAAAAATACAGAAGGAGGAAAAAGGAAGCCTACAAAAAAGTGTGGCAAATGGTGACAGATGGGGTCAGCCGGGCAACTGGGATAGGAGCTATTACGCGGCCATCCTGCACGTGCCTGACAAGAGCGCCACTGGGCCACGGCGGGCCATGAGTAAATGGATGGTTTGTTTGGGGCTGGCCTCTCCTGTCTGCATCTCTTCTCCCTTTGCCTCCCCCTCTCCTCCCAACCAGGGCCCACAGAACCATGCTACAGACGCTTCTGTCCTGTAAACCAAGGGGTCAGGACCCTCTAAAGGAAAACTGTATTTCTAAAAAAGGAGTTGAGGCAGAAGATGGGATTTAAGAAAAAGAAACACATTTCTATTGGTAAAATTTTCAGCCATTAGTGGTAGAGAAGACAGAACCACAGAATGTCAGGGTCATGGGAAATGTTGGGCTCATTAAGTCAACCTTCTGCAGAGGGAGCGGGGAAGTTAACACTCTCTAAAGTGACATGGCTAATTGGTGGTAGCAGTCCCCCAATCCCCCCACTGCACCCCCACTACAGGTAGGGCTCTGTGCTGGGGCTGCCAGAGGTCCCGAAGAAATGTCAGTACCAGCTTGGAGCCAGATGCTTGGATCTGAAAGCGAGTCTTGTCATTTATTGGCTGTGTGACCTTGGGTAAGTTACTTAACCTCTCTGTGCAGCTAACATTTATTGAGCATTTATTATGTGCCAGGCACGGAACTAAGTGCTTTACACACGTTATCTTATTCCATCTTCCCAACAGCCCTAGGAAGTACAGGTTGTTCCCATTTTGAAAGATAAGGAAACTGAGGCTGAGCCAAGTTACATAAACTGTCCAGAGTCACACAGCAAGTAAAGCGGCAAAGCCAGGAGAGAATGCGGAGCATCTGACTTGGTCCAAGCTCTTACCCGTTGTGCACTGCTCTCAGGGGAGGGGACGAGGAAGGGACACAGATGGCTGGTTTCCTCAATACTTGTTCTCCCCTTCTGCCTAAGGACTAGAATCCCTCAGTGTTAGTGGGTACTAGCCACCTGGAGCAGACATTTCCCTGCACCCCTTCCTGCTAGGTGCAGCCAGGATTAACTGCTGGCAAACGGCACGTAGCCGAAGGGGTGTATGCAGCTTCTGGGTGTGTATGTTTCATGTGCCATGACACCTGCCACTGCAGGGTGTGGAACTCTGTGTGTGTTCATTAGGTCAAATTTGTTAGCAGCACTTTTCACATCTATCCTCACTGATTTTGTTTCTGCTCGTTCCACTCTCTGTTCAAAAGGTATATTACAGACTCCCATGTGACTATGAATTTGTCTCTCCTTCAGGTCTGTTCTTTTTGCTTCACATATTTTGCAATTATTTTATAGAGTACATACAGATTTGGGGTTGTGATACCATCCTGGTAGATTGATCCCTTTGTCATCAATAAATGTCATTCTTTATTTCTGATAATCAGAAATATCCTTAGACTGAGGAGGGGGCATGTCTCTCCTCACCCTTTCCTTCTTCCTGTTGCCTGGAAGGTTGATGAAAGGACTGTGGCTCAAGCAGCCACTTTGAGCCATGAGTTGAAAAGGGCAGAGTCATCAGTTTAAAAAAGCCTGGGTCTCAGATGGTTTTGGAGTACAATCTTTCTCAGGGAAATCAGCAATCACAAGTTTCCCTTCTTTTCAATGCAAAAAAAAAAAAAATGCTCCTTTACCCTAGGCCTTCTTCTGGCTGATTCCCTAGCCTTCTCATTTGAAAATATCTGCCTGAATCTTCTGTTCCTCCCCTCTCCTGGATCCCTAACTCACCACCATCCTGCACTGATACCACTCTGCCACAGGTGAATCCTCACTACCTCGTATCACTGGGATCTCTCCCAGCACGTGGTACTGTGGCCCAGCCCCTGCCCCCTGGCTTCTGGGACCAATACTCCCCTGCTCTCCTAGCCTTTCCCTTGCATGTCAATCTCTCACATGGCTTCTTCTTCCACCTCCCTGGGGTGGTTCCCCCGCTGTCTCTTAGTGGTGCTCACTGCCTGCCCATATGTGTCTGTCCCCTGCTCAGCATCCCTGCTGCCACTGGTCTGGTTCAGGCCTCGTCATCTCTTTCTTGGACTTCAGCACTAACCTCTTAACTGGTCGCTGGGCACCCATCAGCCCTAGCCCATCTGCCCCCAAAAGAGGACTCTCTGAAATGCAAGTCTCATTAAGGATGGCCTCACTGAACATCCTCCTGTCGTTGTGCACCAGCTTTGGGACATCAAATGCCACTAACTCTACTGCCTAGTGACCCAGGATAGGCAGACAAGGAGGGCGAAGCAACAAGCCTCCTAGGAGGGTGGGCACTCCTAGCCCACTTGCCAGATGGTTCGGGATGGGACCCCTAGCAGATGGACAGCTGTCCTAATGGACAACCCTCTCCAGGACCCTCCTTTCCTGGGCCTCCCCTGTGGTTAGAGAGTACTACATGGGGGAGGGGCAGAAGGGGGAGGGGCGGTGGGAGTGGGAAAGGCCACAGTAGCCTCTGGAGAGGAGAAAAGCAAACACATGCTACTTGACCTGCCAGGAGTGGAGGAACCAGGGCTTCTGAGCCTCTGAGACCACGTTCACTGAGCTCTGAGGAGTGTCTGAGGATTTGCGGGAAACAGACTACCTTCCTAAGTGCGTTTTATTTCTGCCTGGGGAAGTCGGGCTTTCCGAACCAATGGGAGGAAGTGTCCCTAAGGGGCAAGAGGAGACAGTGGGGGCAGGCAGGGCGGAGACACCTCGCCCCAGCCCCCACAGGGGAGGTAGTCGGCATTTTGTCATGGGGTCCCAGACTAGCCTGAGTACAAAGAAGAGGGGACCGTGTCTCCTAGAGCCCCACTTCAGCCAAGCTGATCTCTTCTCTGGCCTCTTACGAGACCTGCCGCCCCTCCCTCCGTGCCGTGGCTCTGCTGTGCCTGCATCTGGGGCACCAGCTCCTTGCTGCCTATCCACAGGCTCCAGGCTCAGCGGGGTCCCCTCAGCTCCGAAGATGGCCGTCCCCACCTTCCCTGCCTGACCCCAGTGCCCACTGACAACAGCAACGGGTTTGGGTCCTTTTTGGTGCCTTTTAAATCTCCTAGCAAGCTAACTGGTTCGACTTCGGTGCGTCTCCGGCACCTGCTGCCTGAGCCGGGGTGCTGAGCTGTGCACAGAGGCAGGACTCCCTGGCTCTGCCCCTTTCTAGCCGCCTGCACTCGGGCTCCTTACTTTCTTTCTCTGGGTGTCTGCTTTCCCATCCACAGGGCAGGGCAGTGGTTTTCCTGCACAAGTGTCAGAGTTATATGCAGTGGCTAATGACCCAGTTTGCCCAGGACTGACCAAGGGATTTTTCAGAATGTTGGACTTTCAGTGCTAAACCCAGGTCACCCCAGGCAAACCAGATGGCGGGTCACCCTACTCTCAGGTGCTGTTGCTACTGCTGGTCCGAGAACCATAACCCTGCACCGTGATTACCCTTTGCATCTGAATAGACAGAACTGAGTGGGTGGGGGTGGAGCTCGGGCTGGGCCTGCCATCTTGCTCCGAATCCACATTTGGGACACTGTTCC